CAGCACACCAAGACAGCATGGAGCCCAGGCCCCGAGCTGCGGATAGGCCCAGGCCGCCCACCTCCAACTGCTGCTCACTTGGCATTGAGCCTACCTCTAGCAAGTCTGCGCAGTCCTGGTCTTCGCCTCCTTCACCATCGAGGCTGCTTTCCTCGAGGTTCCAGATACAGTGCAAATGGCTCAGAGAATAGCACCACCATTAGCTCCATTTTCTAAACCCAAAACCTGGGCTCCACCTTTCAAACCAGTTCTCTCCCGTGAATCTCACCAACTCCAGTGGGTTCTACCTCTTGGTGCTGTTGAGGTCCAACCAAGCCTCTTCATCTGCCAGCTATTAGTGTTTCAGATCCCTATAATTCCTATTTCAGTGTTGGTGATCAAACCAGGGCCTGGCACATGCTAGGCAAGTGCTCCACCACTGAGCTATACCCACAACCCACATCCCATATTATACTATATTTAAGTGATTGGTTTTCTTGCTCATTCTTGAATGTAGGAGGGCCACCTGTCTAGGTCTGTAGGCTGCGCACTGCTCAAAGGTGCCTGCACGTGAGAGGGCAGGCCTCACATCGCCCACTTAACCACTTGCCACAGGGCGTGTTCAGCCTATGTGGAGCCTCTGGGTCACTCATACACATGCAGCAGCAGAGTCACCTCCCCTGATAAAGTCACATATGTGCTCTGGAGGGTACACATGATCGCCACCTCCTCTGTGACCTGAGCTGAGATCATTCCTTTCTCTCTCATGCCTGGAGGTCTGTCTTTTTCTCACCATCCTTTTGTTTGAGACTTTTGCAGTGCCCCCTGTGTGCTGGGTTATGACATGTGGTGTTAGGTGTGGCTCTGAGTGGGCCACAGCCATGCCCATAGTGCTCTGGAAAGCTACTCAGAGCAAAAGTTCTTTGTCTTGTATGGTAATAAAGTGACATACACATCAGTGTAAACCAGGAGTACCTCTCCTCTCTCAACGACCTCTGTTAGTTACTTTTATGTAGCTGACAGAAACAGCTTAAGGGAGGAAGGATTTATTTGGCTCATGGTTCCTTGGCTTCATGCACTTGGGCAGGACATCATGGCAGCAGGAGTGTGTGGAGGAGGAGACTGTTCATCTCATGGCACACTGGAAGCAGAGAGTGAGGAGGAGCCGGGGACCAGATATAATCTTCAAAAGTGACCTACTTCCTCAAGTAGGCCCCCATCTCCTAAAGTTTCTAGCACCTCCCTAAATGGTGCCATTAGCTGGGGACCAAGCCTTAAACACATGAGTCCAAGGAACATTTCACATTCCGACTAAAATGGTACCACACCAGCCACCACAGGCTCTGCCAGTAACTGCAGGAGAAGTATTTGATGTGGGAAAGCAAGGTCTTGGAACACACATGAGCTCCTCATAGCTTGGGGCCTTGCACCATTGCAGCCTCAAACTCAGTGCACCATGTGTGATAAGCTCAGAGTGGAAAAGGCCTAATGTCCCTTGGTAGGAGGGACCATAAGTTATTCTGTGATTCACAGAAAGGAATAGTACTCAGCAGAGAACAACATCTGCTACTATACACAGCACAGATGAGTGAGCAAACAACACACAAAATAAGTGAAACAAAAAGTACAGACTGCACAGTTCTATGAGTAACAGCACAAAACCTGTTCACACCAAGCCTTAGTGTTGTTAGTTATGAAGGTGACTCTGCAAGGCTGCGGTCTGAGGGGTTGGATGAGGCTCCTGGGCCTGGTAAAGGTACGTCTCCACCAGGGTGTGATCTCATTGCGAGCCTGTGCCGTATGACTTGCACACTTTCAAGCATGAGTTACGTGAGACTGGCCCACTCCCAAACCTTATTGCTCCTCCTGGCTTCTAGCAGCCAGTTCCAGAAGGATCTTTGAAGCCTCAGAACCCATCAGGGCCTTCAGCTGCCCCCATGTCCCCTCCTCTGCTGCTGTGACTGGGAGAAGATGGTTTCTAAGCCCAACTTTCACACTGATTTTCTCATGGCTTTTTTCTTTTTTTCTGGGCGTCTCTGGTGGTCCTGGTCTTTCATAGCCAAGTGAAAAGCAGCTTGCCCTTTCTCTGCAATCCTTTAGTGTCACTTGGTGGTAAAACTAGACTGTCACAGACTGTGGCTCTCCTCAGGAATGCCCTCCTGGAGGGACTTGAGCTGCTTGCTCATCTGACAGCTCTGCTGCAGGGGAGAGCCTGCAGGTCACTGGCCTGGTGAATGCCCATATGCTCACGGTGCCCATCTTGGCCTTTAAGCACAGCCCTCTGGCTGTGGTATGCTGAGGTTCTGGAGCTCTCTCTTAGCATCTGTGGCCCACCTGCAGTGCTGCCCTCTCCCCTCTGGTGGCGTCCTGGCCAGATCCCTCCACAGCCTGACTAAAGCAGGAGCCCCTCCCCTATGCACTGAGTCACATCTTGACATGCCCTGAAGGCCCTTCCACTGGAGCCCTGCACACCTTGAAGCAGTTTCACCCTCCGGAAAGCCCCTGCTAGCAGAGCTGATGGAGGTGGGGACCCTGCAGGCTTTACATTCTTCTGTTCTTGCTTCTGCCTTCCCTCCAGCTGGAATTCCATTCTTCCCAGGCTCACATTTGGTTATCTCCACTTCAAAGCCTTTTCTGACTTTCCCTTCATTCTCTGGTCCTCTACATGGTTCCCTCCTCCTTTGGGACATCTTTCCTGTGCTGCTCTTTATTTGCCTCACCCTCAGCTCTCACTTGACTGTAAACTTGCTGAAAGTAGGATTTTTCTTATCAGTGCATGAGACTTAGCACCTGGTTGGTGGTATGCCAGCTCTTGGGAGGGTAAGGCAGAAGAATAGTGAGTTCAAGGCCAGCCTGGACTGTGTGGCAAGACCCCTGTCCCAATACAAAAGTAACAGCTTACCAGGTAGATGGGGTGGGTGTGGGGTAGAAGAGTAGGCAGAGGGGTAGGAAGAGAACATTTTGACCCTCAGGACTCCCTCCTACTATGGCAGGCCCCTCCCTGCACCATTTGTTGTGAGGGCAGTATGGCTTCTGTCTTCTCTACTTCAGTTGTCAAAGAAAGGGAAGAAAACTGAAGATTAGAAATAAGTGATTCTTGTGAATTCCTCCCAGAAAAGAAATAATCCTCACTCCTCAGATCCTCCAGAGTACTCAGCTAGCTCTTAAGACTTCCTCCATTTTGTTTGAATGTGAACTTGAGCTTATGGCTTCAGAAAATTAGGTCTTTCAAAGCAGATGCTCAGAATAGGAAGTCACTGGAAGCGAGTGGCTGCAGTTCACCCCGTTTAACAGTGATTACACAGAGCTCTGCGCTTCTAGGGCAAGGCCAACAATTGGGCCAGGGGAACCTCAGTCTCATAAGCTCACTGTGTACAGCCGTACACAGTCGTTCGAGTGACTCAGTATTGGAGACTGTGCATTAAAATAGAGATTTCATGTTGAAAGAGTCTGGTTGCTACCTTCTAAATGGAATCTTTGCAGTTACACTGAGAAAGTGGATAGCTAAAACTGTGAAGATCATTGTCCCCATTGAAGAAAGGAGTCGAAGTTTAAATGTGATTTCTTAGTGTTTCCTGCTGTACCTGGCTGTGTAACAGCAGAAAAGTTAACTCATATAAAGCTCTTTGGACTGTGCCTGGCCTACAGTAAGTACTGGAAAATATTAACTGTCCTTGTTTCTTCCCACATGAAGATGTCTGTGAAGCAGGGTCTTAAAGGATGCTCTTTTTGGGCCAGTTTTTCTTTGTTCATTAAAACTCAAAGTGATGGGCTGGTGTTGTAGCTCAGTGGTGGAGCACTTGCCTAACATGCATAAGGCCCCAGCACTGCAAAAACAAACAACAAAAAACCTCAAAGTGATTAATTACCCTTCAGGTGTGCTTGCTGAGTTTTATGGAGTAAGAGGGATAGGTGAGATGTGGGCAAAAGATGTGGATGGGGAGGGGGACCACTCATTAGGTGTTGGCATGACCTTCGGCCTTCCGGCCTGCCTTTACCACTGGTGGGCACCTCTGCAGACTGGACAACAGGCTACATAAGGAATCTTATAGTGAATTCCAGAATTTCATGCATTTCAAGTACAGATACTTCTCAACTTAGGATGGGGTAACCCCGTCATAAGCTGGAAAATAATGAAGGTGGAACATGCATCAGATCCGCCTAATTACCACACATTTCAGCTCAGCACCACAGCACACTGGGCTGCTGTGGTTCTCCCATGTGATCCCATGGGAGCTGCGGTCACTGCCACTGCCCAGCAGCAAGAGAGAATCTGACCTTGTATCTCTAGCCCAGGGAAAGATGCAAATTCAAAATTTCAAGTATGGTTTCTGCTGAATGCCTTTTGCTTTCATACTGCCACAAAGTTGAAAAATCATAAGCCACACCACACTAAGTGGGACCTTCTGTACTGTGAGTCCCATGCCGCTGCTTCCTCTTGGCGTTTACCACTGCCTGCTCCTTGCTGCTGGGTGGGGAAGGTCAAGGATTACATATAGTAGAGGACATCTTCAATGCAATGAGTTCTGTGCTGTTTTTCAGGAAATTTGGGAGAGCTTTATGAGGAAAAATGTCCAAAAATGTGGAAGGACCACAGCCACAGGTGGGTGGGAGAGTTGGTAAAGCCACTAGCTAATGGACAGCAGTGGGGATCAGGAGTTGATTGGTTACTAGGGACAAGCCAGAAACCCCTTTAGAAAATTTAACCCTAAGTACTCAGGCTGTGGACTTCAAAATGAAATTCCATCACCATCAAGTGTTTTAAGGATCTATCAGCTGTTGAAGCTATAGTTCTTTCCCTGGGTGGAACATTTACAGAGATGCACTTCACTGCAGACAGTGCTACAGGAAGCATCCTGGATCAGGCCACAGGTCTGGTGCCCTGCATGAGCTAAACAGTATTCTCCTTGTTTCTAAGAGGAGGTGTGTTTTTCTTTTCTTTTCAGGTGGAGTATTTCTGAGATCACTGTCCCTTTCTGAAAACCACAAATGAATTTGTCTCCCATTTATTTTCTTTTCAGAGAGTGATGGTTTTCAAAATGAAGACTCTGGAAAAATTTAGGTTCTCCATAGGAATTACAAAATTTGAAGGAAAGAATATTTGCAAAAGGAAATTGTTTTGAAAGTATGTTTACAATGAACTATTGACAGGCTTTTTTTTTTTTAATAATAAAACCCTTTGAGAAGATTGTATTTATGGTAAAAGGAAACTGGACTAACAATGAGGCCAAAGACTTTTCCTGCCACAACTTACTCTGGAAATAGCCGGCAGCGACTGCAAGAGATCCGAGAAGGGTTAAAGCAGCCATTTAAGTCTTCAGCCCAGAGCCTGCCTGTGGGACCAAACAGTGATGCTTCCCTGGATGCCAAAGTCCTGGGCAGCAAGGATGCTGCCAGGCAGCAACAGATGAGAGCCACCCCGAAGTTTGGACCTTATCAGAAAGCGCTCAGGGAAATCAGATATTCCCTACTGCCTTTTGCTAACGAATCAGGCACATCCTCAGCAGCAGAAGTAAACCGGCAAATGCTGCAGGAGCTGGTGAATGCAGGATGTGACCAGGTGGGTACAGACCTCCATCTTCCCTTAAGGGCAGGCGAGTGAATAGCTCGTTTCTGGCAGTCGGAATCCTCCAGCAGTTCTAACTGAAGGTTTTGAATCGTTAATACTCAAGTGTTTCTGCATAAAAACCCGAGGCCCTTTCATGCATCACTGATCTGTTCTCTTCCTTTTCTAAAGTCTTTAGCTGCTTTTCCTTTTCAGCACGATCCAGAAGGTTCTGAACTCTCCTGAAATTGTACCATATATACTTTGTGTTCTGTCTTGTGTGTGCATGTGTGTTACTGTTAGTGGAACCAGGACCTTGAGGATGCTAAGCAAGCCCTGTACCACAGAGCTATCTCACCCTCCCACACCCGAGTTCTGCTCTGATGCAGATGAGGCTGCCTTTCCTACCTCGCCCTTTCTTTAGGGTTTATATGGGGTGATTCTGAGCTGTCATGGGGAAGAGACGAGCTTTCCCTTATTGTGTTTTTGGTTTGTGCATTTTTTACTCCCCGCAGAAGTGTCTCTGACTCTCTTTTCTGCTATTTTAAAAAATAGTGTACATTTTGTTATAGGAGATATGACTATATATAGGGAAATTGAAAAAAAAAACTGGAAAAGGAAAAGCTGCAAAATCATGAATATTTGGTGTAGTACCCTCCTCAGGCGTAAAGGATGTGTTAATGGAGGTGGCACCTGTTATACATAAATATACAACCTATATGTACATATACATGTGTACACAACCCTGAGTGTACATACCTGACTAAAACCCAAGTTGAGGGACAGGATCATATCAAATGGATCCAAACAGGTATAAATGTAGTTAAAAAAATGTAATTGTGTTCTGAAATGACTTTAAGAAAGCCAGTATTTTATTTCCGTCAGTCATCCTAAAAAGCAGCTTCATGAATGGAAGTGAGTATTTTCACTGCCTTGGAAAAGAAATAAGATTTCTTGTTCACAGCACATCAGGATGAGTGAGTACTTCTACTTTCTAAGAAGTGATCTAATTACTGGTGTCACAGTCATAGGAAAAGGCTAATCTTAGTCCTCCTGTTGTAATTTAGTACTGTAGAATTTAACTGAGAACTGACAGTTCTCAGGGGGTATGTCTGTGAAACAAATCCTGCTATTTAGTAGGGGCTTCCTTGACATTTGGGGATATCCTGGGATTAACGTGTGTCTAACAAGCGTTGTTGTGTTGCACCACTTTCATGCGGTTCACGACCAGGAGTGAGGTGGTGTGGAGTGCCTTAACGGTGGAGGCTGACAGCAGAGGAATGACCTTGCTCCTTGTGAAAGTATGAAGGGAAACATGCTGCTGAGCGCTGTCCCCCAATGCAGGAGGGAGCAGGCCTGGGGAGCCAGTGAGTAGCTGAGTAGCAGTGAGATTGCAGAGGGGTTTTTAGGTCAACAGCATAGCTTAAACTCGCCTGTAAATCAGTTGCAAACAGTGCATTCACGGCCCAGGTGTTCTTTGCAGTTGTATTTCAGCTGTGAGAGAAAGAAACAAGTCAAGCAAATAATCCAAAGTACAGGTGGGATCTTATTAGGGTAAAATCCATTAGAGATAATTACAGTATAGGAAATAATGAAGCTGGTGCTATTTCTAATATGGTAAAATACAAATGCAGGAAAATTAAGGATCATGATACCAGTGAAGTTCTCATCAACATTTAATTTATGTTAATTGCTAGCAGACAGGGCTCCACTTACCATATTTAATGTTCCTGAAATAATTCAGTTTGGTGTCTGGTGTTACTTTATAATTTAAAACAGCTGTACCTCCACCCTGACCCTCCAACTCAGACAAGGGTTCATTTGCTTTCAGAAAATTCTGGTAGGAAAGTCAGCATGAACCCGAGTACTGTGGGGGAAGGATGGACAAGACCTCCGGAGCCCTGTGTCTGGGATCAAGCGGTTGTTAGATTTCTAGCATAACAGGTAAAGAGAATACTGTCCTTGCAGCTTTTCCCCTCATTTCTTCTTGTATTAGATGCAGTTTTCTTCTGTATTTTGAGGTTAAGCCCTCTCTTTAAACCCTGTCTTCATCAGAGTGATCATAAGCCCCATGTTTTTCCATGGGTTTTTAGGTACCCATGGGCACCGTTTTCTTTTTTCCCTTTTTTTGATTCAGTGTCTTGTTATGTTGCCCATGTTGACCTGACCTCCTGGCTGAAGTGATCCTCCTGCTAGTGATCTTCCTGTTTTAGCCTTCTGAGTAGTGGGGTAACTGGCACTACAGGCGCTGGCCACCACACCTGGCTCCACAGGTAGTATCTTATTCATTGCATGTACACACATATATATTTCACCATCTTCTTTGGCCTAAATATTTACTTTAATGTTTATGTAAGCAGGTGTTTTCTTTTTAACATTTTAGTAAAGTAAAATTTACATCTAAGAAGTACACAATTCAGTTGGGTTTTGGTGGCTCATGCCTGTAATCCTAGCTACTCAGGAGACAGAGATTAGGAGGATCGTGGTTCAAAGCCAGCCTGGGCAAATAGTTTGCAAGAACCAATCTTGAAAAAACCTGTCACAAAAAATGGTTGGTAGAGTGGCTCAAGTGGTAGAGTGTCTGCCTAGCAAGCATGAGGCCTGTAGTTCAAGCCTCAGTGCTGCTTAAAAAAAAAAAAAGTATACATAAGCTTACAGCCTAGTAAATTTTCACATATTAAGTACATACATGTATAACTAGTGTATGTATATATTTTAAATTAAAACATTTTGAAGTGAAAATATTTAGAAAAGGTTAAAGACTTCAGAGTATTTTGTGTTTACTGATAAAATGTGCATGCCCAAGGATAGGATATTCACGACTCTTGTGCACACAAATTACATAAAGACACGAAAATTCCTATAGGTAAAAGAAAATTATGCCAACAGGCTAGTATTCCTTAAGGAAATAGAAAGAGAAGTATGCTTTATTATTTGAATGCCATGTTTTGTAGCCTTGGAATCTTGTCACTGGCATAGTGGTCACTTAAATTTAGCTTTTACTTTCCTCCCTTATAACATTAGGTTCCACTTTTTCTTTTAATCTTTTTTTTGTAGTTTCAAATACCCATACTTCCAGGTTTTCCTCTTCAGAGTTTTAAAAACCACTAGTCTGATTTGCAGTGAAGTTAATATGCAAATAGTTCTCTTCCACTTGTATTCTTACTGAGTTGCAGTGGGTTGACAGGCCGAGCAGCCCTTGTAGGGAGTGCAGGGGTATTGTTTGGCTCCCTGCACTCAGCTCTGTGGCACCTGGCATCCTGTGAGAGTGAGAACCCAAGGGCACTTAGTCAGATTGTCTCCCCGAGAGGAAGACAAGGAGAAACAGCCAGATGTGAGGACTAGGAGATAGAATTGTCTCCCTTGAGGAATGAGTGTATGATTTTTTTTCCTCCCAAAAAGCAGTTTTGGGAAAACTGCTTCCAGCAGTTCCTGGAGCCACCCTCTCTGTCTGCCCAGGTGCATGTACACACAGTCCGTGGCTCTGGGCTTGGATTTCTGTGTCCATTGTCATTTCTCTAATCCCGATTTAATCCAGCTTCTCCGCCCCCCCACCCCCCAACATTTCGGTATACCGAGTAGGCAGAAGAGATACAGCCACTGGTTAGTCTGTGTTCTAAGCCAAAAAGAGCAGAAAAAATTAAGTTTCTCCACTCATCATATAAGTTATTGGCATAGCACTGTAAGGGACGAGGTTTCCTGAGGCATGTGGACCTCACCCAGAAGTGAGTGCCAGCACATTGTCCTCAGCACTTGCAGTCGTGTGAGATGGGTTCTAGTTGGCGTTAGTGTGAGTAGAAACTACAGTGGGGCGGGGGGTGGGGAGGGGCAAGCAGATGACTGTCCTGGCCACCTGAGCACACACAGGTTGACCTACATGTGGGGTACTGTTGAACATGACAGTTCTAGGGGCAGCAGGGGAAGGGGAGTGTAGTACATTATTCCTGAGTGGTCTCTGGAGTCAGAGCTTCGAATCCTGTGTTTGTCAGTAGACTCGTTGATGGAAGACTGCTGCCTTGTCCAGGTCTGTATTCTCATCCTCTGTGACTTCCCCGTCTCGTTGCCTCATGTCCATTGGGGTGTGGGTGATCACCCCTCATTTCGCTGGGCAGAGCACCGCCCTTCTCAGCTCCTGATACCCCTCACTTTGGGCTCAGCTGTGGTCCTCGGCTCATGCTCCCCAACTGCCTCAGACGTCGCGCAACCTTCTCTTTCATTGTGCTGACCATGGCTGACCATGTTGCGTCCCCATCTTCCTGTCTGGATCCTAGTGTCTGTTAAGGCTCAGCTCAGATTCTCTTACCACAGATCTTCCTGAGGCTTTCACTTGGATGTGGGCTGTTCCTATTCAGATTTCCATAGCATCTTGTTTCTAACTTATAGGACAGGCTGTGGTGTTCTTGCCTTACTTTCCCTCCTCTGAGGCCTGGATTCTGGGAGTTTTCCCTGTGGGCCCAGAAGGCCTCCCTACTGCTCCTCCATAGTCTGTGCTCAGTTCATGTTTGCTAAAGCAGATGTGACTTCATGTTCTAGTCCAGGCAAAAGCTCTCCCCTCTGTTGTCAGTCACAGGAATAGATGCTAAACTGAAAGGCACCTTTTCCTTACAGTGGTTATTTTGTCTAGTTCTAATGATACACAGTCAAGAAAGCTATAGAAAAATACCTAGAAGAAATGTTCCTTGTCTTGGTGACAGAATCCTGCCTCAGGATGCTTTTCCTGAAATAAAGCTATTTTGCTAATGAGAAAGGTAAAGGAGATTTAGATACCATGTTCATTTTCTCTTCCTCCCTTCCTCTGGAAAGGGAGCCGCTTCTTGGTCTGACTGGACACTCATGCTGTCCTGTAGTTCAGGAGGGGAGAAGGAAGAAAGAGATACTTAAGAGTAGGAATGTCAGTAATGTAACAGGAAATCGTATCACAATGGCCTTTGGGTGTAGCAGTTCCTTGCCTTTTTCCCCTCTTTTTTTTTTTAAGTGGCTTTCAAATCATTGTTCCTGTCAGATGGTAAACTATA